CTGTGATTTGTAATAACCATTTCTCTGTGCTGGTATCTAATAAACATTTAACGGTAACTGAGTATTTCAGATTGCTAATAATTTTGTTCCATATTCTTCCAAGGTACAGTACATTGCACAGTATATGTAATTCTGTACTAATTAATTAGGGACATAATTATTTCAGTAGGTTATGTGTGTGTGTTTATATGCTGCCTTTATTGATATATACATTATATATTCTGTTACTTCTTACCAAAGTTAGAATGTGTTAGGCACATGGTACATAACAATAAACGACTGGAGTAAGACTTGGCATGTGGCTTCTCATTCTCCCATTAAATCGTGTAAGATGGCGACGAGGATGGGATTCACAAAGTGTTGAAGTCCTTGAAGAGAGGATAGTGACCACTGAAGGGAAGGCCTGTGTCAGTGGATACATTGGAAGAGTGGGGGAGTATGATGCAAACAAGGAGAACTTCACATCATATTGTGAGAAAATGGACTACTTCTTCCTGGGCCAATGAGTTAATGGCCCTTGAAATGAAAAGGAAAGCAATCTTTTTGACAGAGGTAGGAGCTAATGTTTATTCTACTCTGCTCCACACAAACCAAAAGACTCCTCACTGATTCAGATTGCCAAGATTCTGATGCAACATTTTGATCCTGCTCCACTTGAGATTGCTGAAAGTTACAAATTTGGCACAAGAGATAGAGGGAAAGATAAATCGGTGATTATATAGTAGCTTTGAAGAAGTTATCCATTCACTGTAACTTTGGACAGTTCTTGAACAGAGCTCTTAAGAGACAGGTTTTTGATAGGTCTGAATTATAAAAAAATGCAAAATAAGTGAATGAGCACCACAAAATTAACTTTTGAAAAAGCATGTCATAACCAGAGAAAAACACCAGAGAACTTGTTCCCAGTGCCGGTTGTGAAACAGTTGGCAGTAGTGGATCGGTGTGTAAAGTAACTGTGGCTACAAAGGAAGAATTATGCCAGAGAACAAGGAACACATGCTAATTTAAAATGTAAAACATGCCTAGGCAAACATGAAAGCTTTCAGTGTAAGTTCAAAAATTCAAGATGTTAAAATTGTCAGCGTATTGGACATATTGCTCCTGCCTGTGAGAAAGAAATTACAGCCCCTGCCAGAAGTGATAAAGGTAGATTATATGTCGTCGAAGGTGATGAGAAGGAAATGAAAAACGGTATTCATGAGTGTTAGAAGTTTTGAACCTGATAATGATGTGTCCATGAATAGAAAGTTAAACATAGGTATAATGTGAACTAACGCATTAATGGCACAATTGTAACCATGGAAGTGGATACTGCAGCTGATTTCTCCATAATGAGTAGAGAAGCTATTTGTGCATGTGCCTTTAGAAGACTCGGGTATCAAGTTGAGAACCTATACTGGAGAGATTTTGAGCACAGAAGGTAAATTAGAGTGTGAGGTAAAGTACAAAAATCTGAATTTAAAGTTGTCATTAATTATAGCTAGTTACGTGAATAGACCAACTATGTTAGATACGAACCGGTTGTGTGAACTTGTGATGGACTGGAAGGAGATATTTAGTGTTAGAATGTGTAACTGTTGCAGGTCTTGAAAAATTGCAGATGAAGCATTCAGGATCCGTTGTGACTGATGTTGAAAGCTTCAATTGTATTTACTGTTAGCTTAATTGTCAATATAAGTCAGGGTAGAGTCGGCAGTGAGTATCATTGACGTCGGCCCTAGAGATGCCAGTGATTGTTCACCGAGGCTGAAGTCACCTCTTTTTCATGGTGAAATTGTTGTAAGGATGTTAATTACGAAAGTAATTAATTAACCTGAAGGGAACCGTCAGACCAGGGGCCGGATACTCAAAACAACTCATAAGTTACGTATATTAGCGAGATACAGTACCATATATTGCAGACTCCTTAGTATTGTTTTTATGTTGATACTAACTAATTCAAAGTTTTATCATTAGGCCTAGAATAGAAGGGTTATGCCTGTGAAAAACAAAAATTACGGCCTTAAGGTTTTGCCTGGCTCTTAGGGGTAAAATACTGAAAAATGCACGTGTTAAAATCTCTTCATTTAAAATTGAAAAAAATTGTGTATTATTCAAGTAAATAAGGGTGTTAAAAACATTTAAAAGACATCCTCTTGCCTCAAAGTCTGTCACATACTCGCATTTGAAACTGATTTCTGGTAGGAACAGCAGCCGTAATTGAAATTTTATCTAAAATTAATTCCCAAAGCATGATTTTGCAGGAAACTTACGGCTTAGGTAAATGACTTTCAGAGAGGCACATTTTCCTGAAAACTATGAGGAAAGTTTCCCAGATAACCGAGAAAATTCTGGAGATGGGGGATATATTTCCGGGTTCGAGAGATGATGTAATGGGCAATTGCAGGAACTACCGAGAAAATTTTTCCATTACCATAAACATTCTGGGGATGAGGGATATTTTCTTGATTTGTGATAACTGTCTCGTTAACGGGAAAACACTCATTCACGGTAGTGCTCTTCACCAATTGTTCCGGCTAACAGAGATCTCACAGTATTTGGTGTTTTACCCCACTAGAATTTAGGTAAATAATCCCTTGCATAATGTTGGCCTGTGACAAGACACATAAACTATACTAAGATAGCCTTATTCTGGGCAAATTCAAATAAATTGGTTATTGATAGCATAGCCTTGCCTAACCTAAATGACAAATCACTTCTCTTAAATTACTCATTTAGCCTAGACCCTGGTGTTTTCCTTTCAATGTTGGGAACATTTGGTCTGAATTGTCTTCAAGTTCATAAAAAAAACAACAATTTAAAACCTGAAAATATATCGGATTAGCCGTAAATTTTCTTAAATTAATACTCTACCTATGATAACGTTCAAGGAAAGTCTGGAACTAGGCCTAAGGTAGCTGCTAGACAAAGTGTGTCACTGACGGCCTGATGCTCACCAAAAAAACATGTACACATTCTCTAACCTAACATACCATAACATAACATAACCAAACCAAACCTATCTAACCTATACCCTATTAGTATAATTTCTTATTTAAATAATCCTCATGTTCTAACTAAATTAAGTAGGCCCCATGTTTAAACATTTATTTGCCTAAGACTGAAAAAGCAGTTATATAGGCACCTATTAATCAAGTTAATTGCAATCCATATTTTACACCTAATATCATTTAATTTTCGCTAGCCTATGGAAATTTATAGCCTTTCATGTTATCATAAGCCTTACACATAAGAAAATAGGCTAAGGCTATTGGTTGAATATTAGAAAAACAAGGCGAAGTCTTGGCAGGAATGTTCACTTGACCTCCTATTTGGCTTTCATTACTGAGGGATATTTACGGCTATACAACATTAATAAGTTCTATCTGCAAGTTTACTCAGTCATAAAACATATTTTTACCCTAAGTGTGAACAATACAAACCTTCTATTTTGGTAAGAAATACTTTATAATGTGTAAGAAGACAAAAGATGCGTCTCTTCCAAACTGAGACAAACACAAACACTCAAGCCGCTTATTATACAACAAAAAAGTTACGAAAAAGACAAAGTGAAATATTATATTTCAGTATGTTGATTTACAAAACATTTTCTTCTTTATTCTATGATAAAACAAGTCTAACAAGCATTATTACAACATATATTATTATTATTTTCTATACAATCGGGAATTAGTCACTACTACATCCGGGTTGAGTGTTACACAACCTCGGTAGCTGGTGTAAGTTACTTGCGGTAACTTATGGAGTTCGATGTCAAATATTGGTTTTGAGTATACCGATCTGAGACTGTAAGTCCATACAGTCCCATAAATGTTTTTGAGTATCCGGCACGGGGACTAGGAAGTAAGTCCAAACAACTTCCACCGGCCCGGGAATCGAACCCGTGACATCTAACTTCCGGGACAAGAACGGTACCGCTTCTACCACCGGTCCCCCCCATTGTAACCTCTACTCTGTAATCCTTTTGCGCTACCGCGGGAAAATCAAAATCAATCCTTATATTCCCGTAAACTTAGCATACTCAAAATTTGTTCCGTAAGCAGTTAATAAGTTATTGTAACTCTAGTGTTTACCCTATAAATTAAGTTCTCTTATTGGATGGTAGATGGCCAATCAGCGCTCAGTTAACAAAATCATCAACCAATCACAAGAGGAGGAGAAATCAGCTGAGAGCAACGCAAACAAGAAACGACAAAATTTCAGTGAGACGGAAGTATACGCCATAGTGTGTGAAGTCGCCAAAAGAAAGAAAATAATTTTAGTGAAGTTGGACTCGAGATGTACAATCAAATATAAGAATCATGCCTGATAAGAAGTAGTAAAAGCAGTGAATGTTGTTGCTCGTATCGCCCGCAATGTTGATGAAGTCAGGTGGAAGTTTTCCGATTTACGTGTAAGCGTGAAGAAGGAAGCAGCACAAGATAAGAAATATACTGGTGGAACAGGTAAGTCATAATATTGTTAGCGTAGGTATTGATTGACACTGAAACAAACTTTACTGTTTTTTCTGAGGCTTGCTACGATTTAAGGTGGTTGTAAACTCAAGGAAGTTGAGTATGGTGGCTCTACATCGTGAATTAATACAAATATTTTAATTATATGAGCACATTCATTAAAAGAAACATCATTCTTCGAAGTTTGCCGTGTGAGTAATTAGTAAAAACTGTACCGCAAATGACGTGGAACAAAGATATTAAATATTCTTTTGGGTGGTCCAAGGTGGCGGAGGCCACCCGTTGGTAAGGAAGTTAGGTTAGGTAGGTTTGGTTACTGTTATAAACTACATATTAATAATTACGTTATTCCCGACGGTAATGAAGGTCATAATGTGTGGTTTACCATATAATTCCTCATGTTTTTTTTTGTCATTTATTTTTATTCATCAATTGATTTAAATTCATACTTGGTATAGATTAATATGTAAATCTTACTTTGTCAGGCTTATAGGCAATTATGTTTACAACTAATAAGTAAGACAGTTTTTATTTATATTTTTCTCTTGAAGGTGGCGGCCCCAAATTGAAAATACAATTGAAAAAGCAGTTCTTCAACTCTTAGATCCAGCCTCTATACATGGTAATTCACTAAGTTAGATATTGGCTTAGGTAATGACTTTCAGAGGGGAACATTTTCTGGAAAATTATGAGAAAAGATTCCCAGATAACAGATAAAAATCCGGAGATGGGGGATATTTCTCTGGGTTCGAGAGTTGATCTAATTGGCAATTTCAGGAACTAACGAAATCATTTTTCTATTACCATAAACATTCTGGGGATGAGGAATTTTTTCTGGTTAATCGTCTTGTTACCCAGAAAACTCTCATTCACGTAAGTGCTCACAGCATTTGGTGTTTTACCCCCAATAGAATTTGCGTTAACCCCTGGCCTAATGTTGCCCTGTGACAAGACACACAAGCTAGACTAAGATAACCTTATTCTGGGCCACTTCAAATAAATTTGTTATTGATAGCATAGCCTTGCCTAACCTAAATGACAAATCATTTCTCTTAAATTACAGATTTAGCCTAGATCATGGTGTTTTCCCTTCGATGTCTGGGTAATTTGGTTCATAAAAAAAACAAAAAAAAATTAAATCCTGAAACTATATCGAGAATTAATACTCACTGACAGCCTGACACTCACCAATATTGCCATGTACACACTTTCTCTAACATAACATAACATTACATAACATAATCTAACCTATGTAATTATTCTTCATGTTCTAACTAATTTAACTTGGCCCCAAGTTTAAACATTTATTTGGCTAAGACTGAAAAAGCTTAATCAAGTTAATTGCAATCCATATTTTACACCTAATATCATTGAATTTGGCGAACAATACAAACCTTCTGTTTTGGTAAAAAATACTTGAAAAGTTTGTAAAAAAAAAAATGCAACAAATACAAACACTCAAGCCTCTTATATTTGTTTTTAGTATGCCATCTGTGTTTACCGATCTGAGACTGTAAGTCCAGTTATGGGGTATCTTTGAGAATCTAATGGGTGATATCGGATACTACTTGTATTAGGCTCCACCCACCAGGGACTGCCATACTGTAGTTGAGTGTTACTGAAATTATTCAATAAATGTAACTTCATTTTAATAAACCATTTTATAATTTTAAAAAACTATTTTATTTGTATGTTAGGAGTATCATTTACCTGCTGTATTTTGCCATCATTCTTTCCCATTGCTTGATCCCAGAATTACAATGTACCCATGTGTCATAACCCTCGAGCCACGCTACCAAAGATCAGAGGTTATGGAGTAATTATATGAAATGAAATAACTAGACAAGTAAGAAATTAAGAGGAAACCAGCTTGAAGAGTTTAAAAGTAATCTACCATGGTATCCAGTTGGGAGGAATGAATGATTTGTAATAACCATTTCTCTGTACGGGTATCTGGTACAGTCGGCCCTTAACATACGCGGGTTTAGCATACACGGCACCGAACACGGCACACCGCCCGCTCCCGCAGCCTCACACACACATGCATAGTTCTCCCTCACTCAGTCAGTCTCGCCGTAACCACGCTTGTGTTGACATCAGCATTGTAGTTGCAAGAATATTACATTTCCATGAATGTATTATATCAAGCACAGTATGAATAGAATATCACTAATATAACCGTATTTTAACCGAAAACTATTAAAAAAACGAGTACATATCTTGAACATCGGAAGGTTAAATATAGTCTTTTGTGATTTATCCTGTGAGTTTTTACATCCACTGAATCTTCATTTAAAATTTATAGTGATGTTTAATGTCTTGTTCACCTTGGCAGAGTATTAAAATTTGAATTTAAAGTTGCCATTAATTATAGTTAGTTATGTGAATAGACCAACTTTGTTAGGTAAGAACTGGTTGTGTGAACTTGAGATGAACTGGAAGGAGTTATTTAGTGTTAGAATGTGTAACAGTGTTCCATGTCTTGAAAAATACAAGATTTTATTTGTTAAGGGTATAAAGGGTTATGAAGCTTATATCACCATTGACAAAGATGTTGCACCCATGGAGTGGTCCCTCAGTTATCGAGCACAATCCGTTCCAGCAGGTTGCTCATTAACCGAAACCATTGTTTCAACAAAAAGGTAGAAAAGTTCACTTACTTTGATGTGTGTATGTAGAAGGCTCCTGGATGATGATGATGATGATGTGAATCTGAAGTGGGAGGTGGAGGTGGAGAAGGGAAAAGAGAAGGAAGTGGAGGTGGAGGAGAAGCATTTTACTGCTTCTTGTAAGGTGAGTCACCTTCCATGAAAATGTCATGAACCTCTGGACTGACAGATTCTCCACCATGAACATCCTGAGGGATAGCATATTGTTCCCTCTGCATTTTACTGAAGAAAGTGTCAATTGTGGTCTGGGTGCCTCTACCTGTAACATCTCATCCAGTTGCTTCAGGTCATCAGGAGTAAGTTCCTCCTCATGAGACATCACAAGCTCTTCCACATCCTCCTCCTCGACTTCAAGGCCCAATGACTGACCAATGGACACAATCTCCTGGTCCAACTCTGTTTCTTCCTCAAATTGAGGGATCTAGTGGAGAATTCTTGCCATGATGACACAATCAATTTTACAGCCTCCAGGATGTTGAATTGTGTCTTCCAGAAATGTTTCAGTGTTAGTTCAGGATCATTGGAAGTTGCTTGATGACACCTCCTAAACATTTTCTTCATGTACAACTTCTTGAAGTTGCTGATCACTTTCTGGTCCATTGGCTGTATGATTGATGTAGTGTTTGACACTTTCACAAAGTCAAATTGATACTCCAAAATTCTGGCAAGGTCAGGTTCATGACCAGGAGCATTATCCATGAGGAGAAGAGCCTTTAAATGGAGTTTATTGGTGGTTAGGTAGCTCTTGACAGAAGGGCAAAACACATCAACAGCCCATTCATTAAAGAGATATCTTGTCACCCATGCCTTACGGTTCGACTTCCAAAAAACTCCAAGCTTTGTTCTTACGGTAAAGAGGCTTCATCTCTGGTGATGAATGTTCTTTTGGGCATCTTTTTCCAGAGCAGCCCAGTTTCGTCCACATTGAACACTTGCTGTGAAAGATAATTTTCTTCTTCAATCAGTTCTTTAAATTCATCTAAAAACTTTGCTGCCCCTTCCTTATCAGCACTAGCAGCTTCACCATGCCTAACAACACTGAAAATGTCACTTCTTTTCTTAAATTTTTCGAACCAGCCTTTGCAGGCCCGAAAATCTGTTTTTAAATGTTCGTAAATCTCCCTGGCTCTTTCACAAATGAATTCAGTAGAAACTGAATCACCTTTCATCTGTTTTTCCCTAATCCAGATGATAAGTAACCTCTCAGTTTCTGCAATTAGGGATCTACTTTTAAACACTCTTGTAGATTTGTCTCTCACTTTCACTTCTTTAAATATGTTGATGTCGACATGCCGCATTTGTTCTTATGCCTTGTTCATGTTTTTTTATGATTTACTGCTTGGTTTGGATTGAAATCGTTGTATTGGATGTACAATGCAGCTTGGTGCTGGGGAAGGCAGCATGGTTACAAGCGTGATGTAGAGAGAGCTGGTTGGTGAGGATGCTCAGAGAAGGACAGCTTGTGGGTCGCCATGCTCGCCAGCGGGAGAGAGGACCGCCAGGCAGGCGGAGGAGGAGGTGTTGCTGGCTGCGGCTGAAGGTAGCAAGAGAGAGATCACCACGAGGTCAGGTCTTAAATAGCGGGGGTAGGCGTGGCTTAGCAGTTGACCCCCGCTTCGTGGTGTATGGCAGCGCTGGTTGACCTAGACCACGAGGCATACACTGGGGAATTGGTGGGGTCAGCTAGGCAGCGACAAACAGCGGTTGTAGGGGAGAATTCCACTACACCTGCTTTTTAAAGTTAAACTTGTTGTAAATAAAGAATATTTTCTTTAAAATAACACTGCACTGTGCTATATATTGTCAATATGTAAAATAAATTTCAAAATGACCAATAATTTGCTTGGAAACACGGAAAAAAGCGTTTAGTTGAAGAGGATCTCAAGCAAGATGTTACCTCCAGTGAAAAGAGAGAGAGACTAACGCCTGTTTGCTGTGTTAAGAGGCAGGATGCTGCGCATTAAACTCGTCACTTTACCTTCAATAATTGTTCAAATTACTAAAAAATTTAGTATTAAACTTTTAAAATTATTGAATAGTATAAACTAGTGCTTGATGGTGGAGGACACTGAGGGATGGCATTTCCAGGGTGGAGAGAGTATTCTGAAGATCAATTTAACCGAAGCCAATCTACGTATTACAATGTGTTGGCGAATCTTTCTTTTTCAGATCATGGGACAACAGACCACGAGTGAAGCTTCTCACAATACACAACGGTGTTCCTTCAGGTCAATTTTAACGTTTTGTGTGATGGTGTGGGTGTGCGTAGCTTGCTATGGTGTCATTTAATCTTTGGTGAGAGTGTAGCTGGGTGTGGCTTGTTGTGGGGTCATATAACGTTTTGCGAGAGGGTGCATGTGGGAGGGAATGTCTAGTCAGCTTTAATAAACCTTGTGTATAGTGCATGAAGCAGTGTAGTACAGTACAGTACAGTATAGTGTAAACTAATGTGGAGGTAATGATTTAGGTAAACAGTTGGGGACAGTTTAAGTACATGTGATCTATTTGCAAGTTAATTTTCATTGTACATAAATTACAACTTCAAACACGTTGCAGGTAACAGCTGATGTACGTGAAGGCCAATGGAGAAGTGACAGAACCTCGAGCAAGATTTAACTACCAGCATGTTACTTCAGCCTCATCAGTTAAGTTACTTGTACAGTATATCTTAGCTAATATCTTTATCCAATAAACCACTCGACAATGCTCCTACACTGGGCAGTGGAGGGTGTGTGTGTATCTTGGCTATTATGGTCATCCCATAAACTACTCAACACCATGCTTCTACACTCGGCAGTGGAGGGTGTGTGGGGGGCCTGGCTGACAGTGTGAAGGAGGGCTCGTGAGTACTTAGTGGACAGATTGGTCTTCGAGTAAATTTAATATTAGTTGTAGTGACAGTATAAATATACAGGAGTAGTATATATAGGATATAGTAGTGGTAGTAGTAATAGTATAGTAGTAAATACAGCAAGTAAAGCAAGTTGTTGTGGGTGGGTTTCAACTAACTTTACTAACCTAACTTAACCAGCCTAAGTTAATTAAACATAATAACGTAGAGTGAACCAAATCCGTAATAAGGTCACCGCTTGAACTCCTCTCATATTTGCTTCATTATCGTAAGATTGACCTCCACAATCCTCAAAAGAAATGTTCAGTTGTTTGTCTTCCGAGTAGAAGTCATGACAAATTTAGCCCTGTAGACTTCTCTACCTCAAGGAACCCTAAGAAATGCTCCTTTATTGATGACTTGTCTTCAAGAAAGTTGCTCAAATCAGGGGTATTTCGATGCTTTGATATCGTCCACGATTCTTTCAGTAATCTTTGCACTGATAATGTTAATCAGTTCATTTTGGATCATTTTGGACCATTTTGGACCATTGGATTGACAGTTAAATTTTTCAGCTGACCCTCTAGAGCCAAATTGATTTCAGCTAGAGACTGAATAATCGCCATTAGTCTAGTGAGGACTTGGCGCCACCTGTTCCACTCAGCCATTAACATTTCCATTTCCCGTCTGTCTATCGTCCTTCCACTTGCAATGTTGACCTCCAGTTCCTTCTATGTTGTCATGTTTTTTAGTGTGTTCTATGTTACTTTCATGTGTGCTGAGCAAATGACTAGTTCTCAGTTGGAGTCAATTTGTTACCATTGAATTTATTGAGATAACACAAGTTTGGTGTTAAATTTTTCAGTGTTGTATTTTTCAACCTGTTTTTTTTTTAACGGAGAATTTTATTACATAGCGCCTTACCATTTCTTACAGTGTAGACTGATATGCATTGTTGGTAAAGAGGTTATATGTATTTGAGAACTAATTCCGGTGTATTTTCAGCCATAGTATTGAGTGGGTTGAGGACTCTGTGGTGAAATGGACATCTAAGACATACAATCTCTGAAAATGAATTGCTGGAAGCACCCTCTGTACATGTAAGGACCACCAATTGTGAGTAAAGCACAGAGTAAATTGTGTAGTGTTAACACAGTGTCAAGATAATTGAAAAAGACAGTGAATTCTTGTGAGTACAGAAAATCCGCTTTGTGTTAATCATCCGTGAAAGCTACAGAGTTATATTTTCTTGAGACATTCTCGTCAAGTATCATCAAGTATTTTATTTTGAGCATTGCTATGAGTACTTTGTGAATTGAAAGTTTGTATTGTCCTCTTTAGAGATACTTAATTTTCTGAGTGAGTCACCGATACTACTGCCGATTATTTATTTTGGTGAGTATCCATTTAAGAAGTATCCGAGGCATTTATGTGTCAATGTTTACCCCCTTTGCTCTGGAAGGGTGTTAATTGAATTTATCTTTGGTGGGGTTGTTTTGTAGAAGATTTGTTGTGACATCAGCGCACGATGATCACAGTAGTTGTGAATAAGTTACAACTTATGTGTGAGTTCCGAGAACTTGCCAAAGCCATGGAGGCCAGCATTCATCGGCGGGGAACGCCGAAGGCTCGGAGGGGTAGTGAGAAAATCAAGTTTAGAGATTTTCCATCGGGATCAGAACCAGAGGAAAGAGAAAGGTTGGCCAGTCCCGGGAACCCAGGGGGAGCTCCTGCGGCTAGGTTCCCACAGAGACGGAGGAAACCAAATAAGTAAGACAGTTTTTATTTATATTTTTCTCTTGAAGGTGGCGGCCCCAAATTGAAAATACATACACTGCAATTGAAGAAGCAGTTCTTCAACTCTTAGACCCAGCCTCTATACATGGGATTCCAGGGATTTTGGAAAGTGAAGAACTTATTGATGGTAATTCACTCAACATACTTTTCCAACCCTCTGGCTTATGCTTCCCTAAGTTAGATATTGGCTTAGGTAATGACTTTCAGAGGGGAACATTTTCTGGAAAATTATTAGAAAAGATTCCCAGATAACAGATAAAAATCCGGAGATGGGGGATATTTCTCTGGGTTCGAGAGTTGATCTAATTGGCAATTTCAGGAACTACCGAAAACATTTTTCTATTACCATAAACATTCTGGGGATGAGGAATTTTTTCTGGATAATCGTCTTGTTACCCAGAAAACTCTCATTCACGTAAGTGCTCACAGTATTTGGTGTTTTACCCCCAATAGAATTTGCGTTAACCCCTGGCCTAATGTTGCCTTGTGACAAGACACACAAGCTAGACTAAGATAACCTTATTCTGGGTCACTTCAAATAAATTTGTTATTGACAGCATAGCCTTGCCTAACCTAAATGACAAATAATTTCTCTTAAATTACTGATTTAGCCTAGATCATGGTGTTTTCCCTTCGATGTCTGGGTAATTTGGTTCATAAAAAAAACAAAAAAAAATTAAATCCTGAAACTATATCACATTAGCCTTAAAGTTTCTAGAATTAATACTCACTGACAGCCTGACACTCACCAATATTGCCATGTACACACTTTCTCTAACATAACATAACATAATCTAACCTATGTAATTATTCTTCATGTTCTAACTAATTTAACTTGGCCCCAAGTTTAAACATTTATTTGGCTAAGACTGAAAAAGCTTAATCAAGTTAATTGCAATCCATATTTTACACCTAATATCATTGAATTTGGGCTAGCCTATGGACATTTCATGTTATCATAAGCCATATATGTAAGAAAATAGGCGAAGGCTATTGGTTGAATATTAAAAAAACAAGGCGAACAATACAAACCTTCTGTTTTGGTAAAAAATACTTGAAAAGTTTGTAAGAAAATAAACTGCGACAAATACAAACACTCAAGCCTCTTATATTTGTTTTGAGTATACCATCTGTGTTTACTGATCTGAGACTGTAAGTCCAGTTACGGGGTATAATCGGATACTACTTGTCTTAGGCTCCACCCACCAGGGACTGCCATACTGTAGTTGAGTGTTACTGAAATTATTCAATAAATGTAACTTCATTTTAATAAACCATTTTATAATTTTAATAAACTATTTTATTTGTATGGTAGGAGTATCATTTACCTGCTGTATTTTGCCATTCTTTCCCATTGCTTGATACCAGAATTACAATGTACCCATGTGTCATAACCCTCGAGCCACGCTACCAAAGATCAGAGGTTATGGAGTAATTATATGAAATTAAATAACTAGACAAGTAAGAAATTAAGAGGAAACCAGCTTGAAGAGTTTAAAAGTTATTTACCATGGTATCCAGTTGGGAGGAATGAATGATCTACTGTCGGTGTTTTTAAATGATTTGTAATAACCATTTCTCTGTACAGGTATCTGATACAGTCGGCCCTTAACATACGCGGGTTTAGCATACACGGATTTGCAAATATGCGGATTGTCCCGTCGGAGGAATATTCTGTACATTGAAGTAATTGAAGTAGGCTACATTCAAATCGCGCCTGCTCCCGCAGCCTCACACACACATGCATAGCTCACCCTCACTCAGTCAGTCTCGCTGTAACCATGCTTGTGTTGACATCAGCATTGTAGTTGCAAGAATATTACATTTCCATGAATGTATTATATCAAGAACAGTATGAATAGAATATCACTAATATAACCGTATTTTAACCGAAAACTATTAAAAAAACGAGTACATATCCTGAACATCGGAAGGTTAAATATAGTCTTTTGTTTTCATGTAATTTATTCTAATTTACATTGAAATGCATTACGTTTCAGCAAAACTACTATTTATTACTGAGAATATGGAAATGTAATATTTTTGCTGAAATGATGTACGTATTACAGTGGAAAGTGATGAAAGCAATGACTTTCGCTTTGTTTCATTCAAAAGATATTACCGTAATCGCTTTTTGAATGGTTTTCCATCCTAATTCACTTGTGATGCAACAGTTTTATTTAACTGAAAACCATTCGAAAAGCGATTACGGTAACATCTTTTGAACGAAAGAAAGCGAAAGTCATTGTTTTCGTCACGATTTTATTGCACTTTCCACTGTAATACCTACGTCATTTCAGCAAAAATATTACATTTCCGTGAATGTATGAAAAGAATATCATTGTAATATAACAGGATTTTAACCGAAAACTATTAAAAAAACGAGTAACATCTCTTGAACATCGGAAGGTTAGGTAAAGTCTTTTGTTTTCGTCATGTATTTTATCCTATTTTACATTGAAATACATCACGTTTCAGCTAAACTACTATTTATTTCTGAGAATATATTCATTCCGGTGCAGTTTAGGTAAAATATACAGGTGATGTAAAAAATTTTTAACTGAAAACGATTCGAAAAACACGTACCTTCTAGCCGTGTTCAACGAGAAGACTGGGAGGAGCTGTTTGGTGCTTAAGACGATGACAAGGAAAATGATTTTGATGGATTTTAATGAAAATATTGAGAAATATGGTATCGTAGTATTTATTCAAGTGAATTAGGATAGAATATTATTGTAATACAACAGTAGTGACGATGTGGATGAGGCGGAGGGATGGAGTGGTGACTGGTGGGAGCAGGGACGAGTGGAGATGCCAGCCAGTACATTAGGGGTGTACAGTATTAATTGTTTTTATAGCACCATTACTCGGAACGTATCTTAACGAGGTCCCGCTGCATTAGAGTAATACTGTATTTCCAATTGGCCCCTCGTGAGCTGTTGTAACCCTTAAACAGATGAGATGGAGCATTAGTGGGGACCTTGTATTTGCTAGGAATTAATATCACTTTTGATATTATATTCAACTCAGAGGGGAACACAATTGTTTGTTAAATTTGCACTTAGTATTTTATCTTGCTAGAGCTTCATGCACACAATACTTGGTCTGTATGGCAACTTGCCCACCTTCTCTACTGCTATATGTATTGAGAACTACCGGTAATGCATGTGAATTTTCAGCTGTGGTATTGATTGGGTGGAGTACTGCGGTGAATGCACATAAGAATTGTGAGGAGAACTTACCAAAGCCATGGAGGCTCTGAGATGTAGGGAGAAGATCATGTCGGAACTGAAACTACATAAAATAGGATTGGATGTTTGTAGGTAAAACCAAATTTGATGTATGACAATGAACAAAAACACCAACCGATCCCCTTCACCACCCTCCCCACCACCAACCAACCCACCCCTCCCCACCACCAACCCACCCCCCCTCCCACCCACTCCTACCACCATCACCACCACCCTCCCCACCACCAACCCACCCCCTTCAACCACCATCACCACCACCCTCCCCACTATCAACCCACCCCTCCAACCACCCTCCCCACCACCAATCCACCCCCTCCCACCCTCCTACCACCATCACCACCACCCTCCCACCAACCAACCCCACCAACCCCACCCCCCTCCCACCCCTCCTACCACCATCACCACCACCCTCCCCACCACCAATCCACCCCCCTCCCACCCACTCCTACCACCATCACCCTCCCCACCACTGTACTTGCGATTGGCCCCTCGTGAGCTGTTGTAACCATCCTGGTGTCGATATCATTGTTGCACATAGTATTTTATCTTGCCCAGTTTCGTCCACATTGAACACTTGCTGTGGAAGATAATTTTCTTCTTCAATCAGTTCTTTAAATTCATCTAAAAACTTTGCTGCCCCTTCCTTATCAGCACTAGCAGCTTCACCATGCCTAACAACACTGAAAATGTCACTTCTTTTCCTAAATTTTTCGAACCAGCCTTTGCTGGCCCGAAAATCTTCAAAGTCTGTGCCTGAAGAACCAGGTTGATCTGTTTTTAAATGTTCGTAAATCTCCCTGGCTCTTTCACAAATGAATTCAGTAGAAACTGAATCACCTTTCATCTGTTTTTCCCTAATCCAGATGATAAGTAACCTCTCAGTTTCTGCAATTAGGGATCTACTTTTAAACACTCTTGTAGATTTGTCTCTCGCTTTCACTTTTTTAAATATGTCTTTCTGTGCAAGAATTGTCGACACAGTTGATGTCGACATGCCGCATTTGTTCTTATGCCTTGTTCATGTTTTTTTTTTATTTACTGCTTGGTTTGGATTGAAATCGTTGTATTGGATGTACAATGCAGTTTGGTGCTGGGAAGGCAGCATGGTTACAAGCGTGATGTAGAGAGAGCTGGTTGGTGAGGATGCTCAGAGAAGGACAGCTTGTGGGTCGCCATGCTCGCCAGCGGGAGAGACGACCGCCAGGCACTGGGGAATTGGTGGGGTCTGCTAGGCAGCGACAAACAGCGGTTGTAGTGGAGAATTCCACTACACCTGCTTTTTAAAGTTAAACTTGTTGTTACCTCCAGTGAAAACAGAGAGAGACTAACGCCTGTTTGCTGTGTTAAGAGGCGGGATGCTGCGCATTAAACTCGTCACTTTACCTTCAATAATGGTTCAAATTACTAAAAAATTTAGTATTAAACTTTTAAAATTATTGAATAGTATAAACTTGATATTTACTAAAATAGTAGGGAGGTGCATTATTTGGCTGCCAAATCTTTTCAGTGCTTGATGGTGGAGGTCACTGAGGGATGGCATTTCCAGGGTGGAGAGAGTATTGATGTAGCCTGAGTATTCTGAAGATCAATTTAACCTAAGCCAATCTACGTATTACAATGTGTTGGCGAATCTTTCTTTTTCAGATCATGGGACAACAGACCACGAGTGAAGCTTCTCACAATACACAACGGTGTTCCTTCAGGTCAATTTTAACGTTTTGTGTGATGGTGTGGGTGTGCGTAGCTTGCTATGGTGTCATTTAATCTTTGGTGAGAGTGTAGCTGGGTGTGGCTTGTTGTGGGGTCATATAACGTTTTGCGAGAGGGTGCATGTGGGAGGGAATGTCTAGTCAGCTTTAATAAACCTTGTGTATAGTGCATGAAGCAGTGTAGTACAGTACAGTACAGTATAGTGTAAACTAATGTGGAGGTAATGATTTAGGTAAACAGTTGGGGACAGTTTAAGTACATGTGATCTATTTGCAAGTTTAATTTTCATTGTACGTAAATTACAACTTTAAACACGTTGCAGGTAACAGCTGATGTACGTGAAGGCCAATGGAGAAGTGACAGAACCTTGAGCAAGATTTAACAGCAGCATGTTACTTCAGCCTCATCAGTTAAGTTACTTGTACAGTATATCTTAGCTAGTATCTTTATCCAATAAACCACTCGACAATGCTCCTACACTGGGCAGTGGAGGGTGTGTGTGGGGCCGCCTAACACTGATTCCAAAAATGCCATTCATTTTGCCCAATCAGGTCAGATTTTTATGCTATGGGAATTGGGAAAAAATCGAAATTCTTAAATATGATGTCAAAATTTTTATGCAAAATATATCATAAGAAATGTAACCACAACACATAGGACCAAAATATGTCAACTACATAGATGCCTTTACAGTTAGACATGCATAAATGGCTGTCGCAGAGAATTTCTTTGGTGGTTGGTGTCTGGGGCGTCCCGTTTCAGACACCAACAGTAGTCGGCGAGCATGTTGATATCCCAGCGACCCTGGTACTGCTCCTCCATTACACGGATATCTTGATGGAAGCGTTCTCCTTGTTCCTCACTCACATCACCACAGTTCTCTGGAAAGTAGTCCAAGTGGGAGCTGAGGAAGTGCATCTTGATGGACATGCGTGCACCAAGAACTTTGTAGCTCAGAAGTAGGTCCTCAACAACTCGTTCATACTCTGGACTTCTGTAGTTGCCAAGAAAATTGGAGACAATAGACTTAAAGGCATGCCAGGCTTTCTTCTCATTTACATCCATGCTGCAATCAAACTTGTGATCTTTGAAAAGCTCTCTGATCTGAGGGCCATCAAAAATTCCTGCATTCAGCTCTGCCTCACTGACTTTTGGAAATTTTTCTTTCAGAAAATTGAAAGCCTGGGTTTTTTTGTCCAGTGCCTTTACAAAGTTTTTGAACAGACCGAGCTTGATGTGCAGTGGCGGAAGAAGAATGTTCTGCGGATTCACCAGAGCATGGGCAACAACATTGTGAGAACCTGGAGTAAGTCCACTTCTTGCAGGCCAGTCACGTTGCATGTAGTGCTGCTTGTCTGCTCGACTATCCCACAGACAGAGGAAACATGCCATGTACAACCAGATGAAAAAGGAAATTTAATTGTGAGAAAATATATGTAAAAAAACACAAGTTAGGTGTTATATTTTCAGTGTGGTATTTTTAAAAAATTTTTTAACTGAGAATTTTATTACCTACTGCATTCCAATTTCTTAGGGTAGACTGATATGCATTGTTAGTAAAGATGTTATATGTATTTGAGAACTAATTCCGGTGTATTTTCAGCCATAGTATTGATTGAGTTGAGGACTCTGTGGTGATATGGACATCTATAACAAGGCAATCTCTGAAAATGGAATGTTGGAAATACCACCACCAATTGTGAAGTGTTAATACAAGTGAGGTATCATATCTGAAGTTCATGGTGAAATTGCTGGGGGGAAGGGGTCGCCGGATAATCCGAAAGGTCGGTTAATAATAATAATACATAAAATCTACGGAAATAAAACCTACATTTTCAAAGTACCTTTCCCTAACCTAGAATTTGCTTTAAAACATTAACCACTTTAGTAAATAAATATGAACCAGCACAGAAACCGTGAATAAAAAATGGAAAAGTCAAAGAACATATGTCATCAAAAAAATTGTGACCATGTCCCAGGTTGCTGATCTGACTTTCTACCTCATTTACACAATTGCAGGGTCTCAATTGCTTCTCTTACTATTAACAACACAACATACATATATTGTTTCTCAATCTTGATTTTTTTTTCAGTTTTGCATTTATTTACGGTTCTTTATTAATATTATTATTAGCATTATCATTAATGTGTGATTTTTAGTGGTAAAAACAGAGTGGAAGATTTTGAGGAATGTCCTGATTGGCCAATATGAGTTATTTCTGGGTTAATAACAGAAAAACAATAGTTTCTGGAGATTATCAATGATGCTCCCTGTAGATGGTCTGAGGATGAGCTATGTATATTTTGTGATGCTGAAATCCCACTTTAGGAGAAGATAAAACCCGGGTTTAGTGTTAGATTTTTCAGTGTTTCTTTTAACTGATAATTTGATTACACACTGCATTACAATTTCTTACAGTGTAGACTTATATGCATTGTTAATAAATACATTTACAGGGCTGTACAGTACCTAAATCAGGAGTTGTTTATTATTTTAACAATAGATGGGATGGTGCTATTGGTGCGGGCTCTTATGGGCTGAATTTTGTTGTAGTTGGTGGGAGGTGGCAATGACAAGGGTGGTGCATTATTTGGCTGCCAAACCTTTTCAGTGCTTGATGGTGGAGGTCACTGAGGGATGGCATTTCCAGGGTGGAGAGAGTGTTGATGTAGCCTGAGTATTCTGCACCTAGCATGATTCTGCAGGGCCCTTTCTGTACCTTCTCTAGCCGACGTTGTTGGGTGGAGTTGAGAGAAGACGTTAGTTTGGGGAGAATAAAGATAGTCCTCAGCTCTGGCGTGGACACCTATAAAAATGCAATCTCTGAAAATGGAGAGTCAAGATTTATATATTTTGATTTATATATAAAAATAAATGTGTTTTTTATGTTTACTTTTATGTTCCTGCCTCATCAGTCATTGCTCATGCTTCACTATCAAGTGTCTATGAAACTTGCCTAGCTTATACTACAGGGCAAGGGGTGACCTATCTGAGGTGTATAAGCATCTCAAACAGGTCTATGTTCAGAAGCATAACCATGGCAACTTTACATTTTCTAAAACTATATACAGGAATTGGTGATGAAAGCATTATAAAAGCCAATGCTGTTGCATTAATTTCTTCTGTTTCTTTCAGAACTATAACAACAAGAGATATAGAAGACCGAAAGCAGCATCACTGATGAGGGCCGAGTTAGCTGGTGATTTTTACGATCCCTTCCGCAGTCACCCAGTAGATGAAGAACATCTAGTCAGTGCTTCTGCAAGCTCATCTTCAAGTACCTGCATGTGATGCATCAGGGGGAAATGACCAGATTGTTTTAAATTTATTTGTGCAAAACAGAAGACATCAAAAAATAATAAACCTTCCCTTTAGAAGTAACATAAAAATTATACTGTACTGTATCTGTATAATAAAGTATGAAAGTGGTAGAATGGGATAAGTTTAGAATAATATTAACAAAGTGCGACTCTTATGCATTTATGATGTAGTTATAAAGAATTTGTATTGTGATATAAATGTAACCCAAAATGTAGTCTGAAGGTAATTTTACTTCTACTTTTAACGGGTTACTTACCACTGAGACCTTCATTTGACATCGTGATTTAAAAAAATTCTGGATACAGCTCTTATAATTGTGTTATTATATAATTTCTTAGTACTGTATATCTGGAGAAAAAATATGATCTGTTCAGGAAAAGAAAAAAACATTATTGCAATTCTCTATCATATACTATCATATACAGTAAAGTACAGTACTGTATCACATAATGTACAGTACTGTACTGTATCATATAAATACAGTAATATATCATATAAAGTACAGTATTGTATCATATAAAGTACAGTACTGTATCATATATATAAAGTCTCGACGAACTCGTTTTCCGCCCATTCTTCACTCACTAGCTGCAGCTGACAGGGAGGTAAGACGCCCCACACCCCGCACTTCTAGTTTCCATTATATACGTGTAATTTTTTCCCGACTGTATACAGTCAATATGGCCAAGAGAAATGGTTATTCTTTTGGTTAGTGTTTATATGTACTTAATTATGGCGTAATAAATGCTGATTTTAGTAACAAACTTGCCAGCCGGTTGTTGCAGTTCACTTGGCTTCTAGAGACGTATCCCCAAGTTTCACTGGGCCGTAAGGCCTATGGTACCTACTTTGCAGCTTAAACAAATACATTAATATGGGTTAGTATTATATTAAATGTTTCTCTAACGTCTAACCAGTAATTTATTAACGTTTTAAAACTTTTAGGGCAAGTATACCGCCAAATGGGCCATAACAACCGAGCCGAAACTATAAACCGGTGGCGAGTAACAAGCGTAAACCGCACATCAGTATTTGCGTTATAATTAACCAGTAAGTGAGTACAATGACGAGATTGGGTGAAATTATTGTATTTATTTTTTTAATTTCACATTTTCCCTCTTGCTTCGAAGCCCAGCCCACTTTTGGCGGAGCCGGGTAGTCATAACTCAATAGCTACGCATTTCTTCTAACGTTCATCACCAAAATATCACTGTTTTTCTGGAATTACGATACAATATTTTTCACTGGCTAGTTCTTTGCTTCCTCTTTAACTTGGATTTTTGGGGGTTGAAACCGAATTTATTACGGGTTTTAGCCGGGCGAAGCAAGGCATGCTAGGCGAGGCAGGCAAGAAGCCAGACAGGAAGCGAAGCGAGGCGAGGTGAGGTGAGTTGAGTTGAGTTGAGTTGAGGTAGGGAGCCGGGCGAGGCAAGGGAGCCGGCGGAGGGCGCGGTTGAGGGGTTTCAGAATATTTGTACAGTGTATATTAAATTTTTGAAAGTGGACAACCATGGATTTTACCATCGGAAAAACACATTGGTCAACAACCAAAACTAAACTTACTAAACTAACGTAACGTAGCCTAACAACGTAACATAGCCTGACCTGGAGGTTCGTTGGTTGTCTGCTTGTAAAAAAAAATACCGGGTTCCTAAAATAAATGTTAAGATGTATATAAAGACACCGTTAAAATGTATTGGTAAATAAGGCAGTAACCATCTAATTAACCTCTGGAAAATGTTAAAATGTTTGGCTCGCCTGAAGATTCATCCCCCAGCTTATTTCAACTGAAGATCAATTTAACCTAAGCCAATCTACGTATTACAGTGTGTTGGCGAATCTGTCTTTTTCAAATCAAGGAATGACTACAGATTCAATTACAGTACAAAACCCTCTGTTATTGGTGTGGTGCAGTATGTGGTCATGTCATGGTCACGTTGACTGCTGATCTATTTAACTAATGATTCTTATTAAACTCCACGCCCGCATAACATGAGTGAGTCCGCGACCCCTAGAAGGAGCGTGTTTATCAACCCAAGTAATTCGCCAGACATTTGTCAACTGAGGGTCATCTTTGAATGAGTAACAGTTAGTTTGTGATTATTGTCATTGCGTGAGTAGCGATCAATGGCAACTCAGGGGTACATAAGAACATAAGAAAATAAGGAGTCTGCAATAGGCCGGTTGTCCTGTGCATGGCAGCTCCTGTCGAGAGTTACTACCACTCTCTTATCATCCATGAATCTATCTAGCCTCCTTTTGAAACTTTCCAGAGTTCCCGCACTTACTACAAAGTTGCTAAGCTTGTTCCACTCGTCCACCACCCTATTTGTGAACCAGTTTCTTCCTATCTCCCTCCTAAACCTAAACTTATCCAACTTGAATCCGTTGCTCCGAGTCCTATCCTGCTCGGATATTATAAGAACTTTATCTATATCCCCCTTATTGATTCCTTTCACCCACTTAAATACTTCTATCATATCTCCCCGCACTCTTCGTCTTTCTAAGTCCCTGAATCATTTTTGTCATTCTTCGCTGCACCGACTCTAGTGAATTTATATCCATTCTATAATTGGGGCACCAGAACTGAACCGCATAATCGAGGTGCGGCCTAACTAGCGCAAGATATAGTTGCAATAAGACCTCTGCACTCTTGTTACTTACACTTCTAGATATAAAACCCAATACTCTGTTTGCCTTATTTCGAACGTTAACGCACTGTTTTCTAGGCCGTAGGTCCGGGCTTACAAGTACCCCTAGGTCTCTTTCACAAGTCGACTACTCTAGGTTGATGTTGTTCAGGCTGTATACATTATAAGTATTTGTTCTTCCAATATTAAGTACGCTGCACTTGCTGGTGTTGAATTTCATTTGCCATTTTTCAGACCACCCCTGCAGTTTATTTAGATCCTCCTGTAATGCATTTGCATCTTGCCCTGAATTAATTTGCCGCCCTATTTTGGTGTCATCCGCAAACTTGCTTATGTCACTGCTGATCCCAGTATCTAAATCGTTTATGTAGATTATGAACAAGAGTGGGCTATGCGCCCCTGGGGAACCCCCACTGGTTACACGGCCCCACTCAGATTTAACACCATCTACGCTGACCCTCTGCGTTCTATCGGTGAGCCATGATTTTATCCAATTTAAAACTTTCCTCGAGACCATGAGCCTTAATTTTTCTCAGAAGCCTCTGATGCGGTACTCTGTCAAATGCTTTGCTAAAGTCTAAGTAAATAACATCGTAATTTTCGTCATTATCTACTACCTCGAAGACTTTCCTAAAAAACGTTAGCAGATTTGTTAGACAAGATTTTCCCTTTGTAAACCCATGTTGAGAGTCGTAGATTAATTTGCTTTTCTCTAGATGCGATCGGATGCTGTCTGCTATAATTGATTCAAGAAATTTCCCCACTACTGACGTCAAACTGATCGGCCGGTAATTTGACTCTGATGCTCTGTCTCCCTTTTTAAATATGGGTACTACATTCGCCTGTTTCCACAACTCTGGCACAACTCCAGTGTCTAATGATTTTGTAAATAAGTTTACGAGGGGTCCGCTAATCTGTTCCCTACACTCTTTTAACCCTTTAGGTGCGTAATTAAATTTCGCGCCGGTTCCTGAAAAGTGTCAATTATCCTGCCAAAAATGAATTTCATATAATCACATTTTCTATATGTTTTTCCTAGAGAACTTTTTGTATATTTTCCAAATCTGGAACAAAAATTCACATATGTGTGCAAATTTTAGAGAAAAAATGACATACCCAAAAATGCAGGAAATTGGTATAAATCAATGTCTGGTATATGGCAAATAAATTTAATCAATTTGGTTACTAAACAGCAAATTTAGATATGTATTACATATTCAGATAATATCAAACAAAATAGTACAAAAATAAGCTATATTGCATTCAGGAAATACTCCTATACCTCAATACATAATATGTCCGCATGTCGTCTCATTTGGGGAAGTTTTTTCAAGGCCGTGGGATATCCCCGCTTGTCGCATTTAATTAATATAATATTTTGGGCGGGTTTACCCGCATGCCGCATCCAAAGGGTTAAGACTCGAGGAAAAATTTCATCCGGCCCTGGGGATTTTGTGTTCTTTAGTTTATTTATCTTCTTAAGAACATCCTCTTTTCTGATAGTGATATTCTTTAATTTCTCTTCTTCCTTTCCCTTAAATATCAGTTCCACCTCCGGAATTTCCTCGAATTTCTTCTGTGAAAACTGATAAGAAGTAGCTGTTCAATGCTTTGCTCATGTCTTCACTGCCATTTATCAATTCTCCCCTCCCTGACTTTAGAGGCCCAACTTTGTCCTTGACCTTTGTCCTATATACCTGGAAAAATCCCTTGGGAATCGCCTTGGATTCTCTTGCTATTTTGATTTCATAGTCTTTCTTTGCTTTCCTTACATTTTTCTTAACATTCCTAGATAGTTCATTATACCTGTTTCTGAGCTGCTCCTCCCCTCCCTTTAATTTCTTATATATTCCTTTCTTTATTCCTATGTCATGTTTAAGTTTTCTGGTCATCCACCTTGGCTCATTCTTATTTGACCTAATTTTTCTGTGTGGTATATTATAGTCATGATCAATTGTTGTCATTTATGACCTCACCACTTCCTACTGGGAACTGACGTGACTGTTCCCAGGTGACCTCACCTAGGTACCTTCTTAACCCTTGATAATCCGCCAACCGAAAGTTTGGGACTCTGACCATATTGTCATTGTTTTTCGTTTCCCAATTTAGGGTGAACCTGATTTCTCTGTGATCACTGTTACCTAGTTCTTCCCCTACTGTGATATCTCTGATAATATTTTCTTTATTTGTTAATACTAGGTCTAATATATTGTCACCTCTAGTAGGTTCTGTAATTAGTTGTTTCAAAAAATTGTCCTGTACTGCGTCTAGGAAGTCTTCAGATTCATAGTCGCCTACAATGTTGTCCCAGTCAATATTTCTGAAGTTGAAATCCCCCATAATGCATAGGTTGTTATATAAACTCAAGATGGCCAGGGAGAGCGTCCCCTGACGCTGATTCCCGTTTGTCTCCAGATCCCATTGTGATTCTTGAATCGCTCTACCATCCGACAACGGCCTCGGATGTATTAGATGTCCAGCCGGGATCATATATGAGAAGATGGCACCGATGCGGCCTGATTAATTTGCCCCACGGCTTCGTTGGGGCACATTATCCATTACA